CTTTTGAACGAAAATTCAATTTTATATATTTTTTTAAACATTTGACTAATGTTTTAATTGAAATTTATTAGGTAACTAGCTTAAAGGCAGCCCTATCGGGCGGCATTTAAGATAGTTTCTGCTTGTTTAAAAGTTTTAAAAACACTTGATTTTGCAGGGCCAATAGACTCCGTAGGGAAAGACGATTTTAAATATGTATTGGAATGCATAGATGATTATTTTGGTCTAATAGTGGCTTATATATAAAAATATAAATATGACGCGGTAAAAGTTTTTGAAAAATTTGTAACTAATATTATGGCAAGATGAAATCTGTTAGAATAAACCAAAGAACTGAATTCACTTCCAACGTTTTTGAGTCATTATTAATTAAAATTATAATTAGCCACCAAAAGACGTCACCTTAATTTGCCTCACCAAAAAACGCGCGATTGAAAGAGCTTAGCGCATATTTTTGAAATAGCCAGATGCTTATTAAAAGAAGCTAAATATATGTGGTCTGCACCGTATGAAATGTTTACTGGTATTAAAGTAAACATTTCCAACATGCATTTATTTGAAATCATTTGCTATGTGTATATACAAAATCCTAACAAACTAGATGATCGAATGAGAAGGGAATATTTGGAGAATATGATAAAAGTAGTTCTGTATATTTGGCATATTTTCCCGAAAAAGTAAGAAGAAATTTACATATGTTCGCGGCATTTTGGTAGATGTGCGGGGGGGGGGTAATGGATAGTGGATCGGAATGAGAAATAGGAGGACCGATTTCGAATTCCAGTCGAATTTATTACAATCACACGATCGTAAATACCTTTAGTAAAGGTATGAATCTGTTCTCCCCCCCCCCCACTACGGGTTACAAATTAGGACTTGTATATGGAAAAATGATTGTTATCTCCTAAAAATTGTTAATGTACTCACAGAGGAGTTATTCTTGCAATCTAAAATATGTTTCGGCTTTAAATAATCCGTAAAAGGGTTGATAAGCCGTAAAAAATACACAAATCAATCAATTCCATAATTTCTTTCTTTGATCTTTTATTTATTTTTTGTCTTCTTTGCTTACGCTTCCCACCAAAAAGAATTGCCTAAAACCCGATCCAATTTTCCATAAATCACGTAATGATTGTTTTAATTTAACATTTCTTTTTATTTTCATATTTCTAGGCACTTTATTGATCTGTTGCCTTCAGAAGCCTCTTTTGACGAACTTAACAACAGACATTAATTTTTTCAATAATTACTGTCACGCAGTATTTCCCATTCTTTCATCCTTTTTTTCGCTTCGTTCTTTTTACCTTTTCTATGCGTGTGTATTTCGTCCTTGTCTTTTGCTCGGCAAACATGATTCCGACATATAAGGTATTTAAGCGTCTGATCAGATTTGCTTTCTCTCTCTCCCCCCATCTCTCTCTGTCTTTCTCTCTCTTCTCTTGCTCTCTCTTCCCTATCTCTCTACCTCTCTTCCCACTCTAACTCTATCTCTTCCTCGCTCACTCTCCACTCTCTCTTCTTTCTCCCCTCTGCATAACACCCTTTCTCCCATTCTCTCTCTTTGTCCCACTATCTCCTTTTCTCTCTCTCTCTCTCTCTCGTTCTCTGTCTCTTCTTCTTCCTCACTCTCTCTCCTCTCTTCTCTTTCTACTCTCTCTCTACCTCTATCTCTCCCGCGTTCCCTCCCCCTCCTCTTTCTTTTTAACCTCTCTACCTCTATTACTCTTTCTCTCTCTCCTCCCTCTTTCCCCTTCTTTTTCGTTCCCTCTGTCTTCAAGTTTCTTCCTTTCCCTTACTCTCTCTCCCTCTTTCCCCTCTTTATCCCTCACAACCATCTCTTTTCACTCGCTCTACCTCTATCACTCCTTCTCTCTCCCTCTCTCTCTCTCTCTCTCTCTCATTCCCTCTGTCTTCTCATCACTCCCTTTCCCTCCCTCTTCCTCCTTGCTATCTCTTCACCACTCTTCCCCCTCTAAATCTATTTCTTCCTCGCTCTCTTTCCTCTGTAACCCTATCTTCCTCCCTCACTCTCCACTATCTCCTCTTTCTCCTCTCTACCTATCCACATTTTCCCATTCTCTCCCTTTTTCCCCACTGTCTCCTTCTCTCTCTCTCTCTCTCTCTCTCTCTTATTTCCTATGTCTTCTTCTTCCTCCTTCACTCCCTCCCCTCTCTTCTTCTTCTTTCTCTCTACCTCTATCACTTCCTCATTCCCTCTCCTCCTCCCCTTTCTTTTCACCCTCTCTACCTCTATCATTCCTTCTCTCTCCCCCTCTCTCGTTCCCTCTGTCTTCCAATCTCTTTCTTTCTCTTACTATTTCTCCCTCTTTCCCTCTCTCTCTCTCTCCCTCTCCACTCTTTTTCACTCTCTCTACGTCTTCCCATCTCTTCTTGCTTTATATTGCGCTATTGTATCTTCCATCTGTTTATGATTTTTTTTTCTTTACGGGAAGTCGTCATTCTCTTTTACCGTAAATCGTTCCTTCTCTTTGATATTTAGCAACTTCAATCAAATTAATTTTGCCAGAAAAATTTTCTCCGTCAGTTCAATGGGTAATTTTATTTTTTATGACTGAGCGATGCCTACACTCCCTCAGCGCCACTCACAAGAAATATCCCGCGAAAAGAAAAATGGCAAACGATAAAGGCTGAGAAGAAAGTCTTTTCTTTAATGCTTCTAATGATACTATTTCAAAAATACAGAAAATAAAAGATACGGAACCGACATACGATCAGCGAAACTATTAACTATTTTTTTTTTAAATAATATATTTATGTTTCATTCATATTTGAAAAAAAATATTTCTGCTATGATTTTTGTATTTTTACGAGAGTCGTTCAAAAAGTTCTAAGCCTTACCCAGAAAGAAGAGCGATAGCTGAACATTGCCACTTTTTATAAAACTAGAAAAACTAATTCAGATTTCTGTCTTCATTTCTGTCCTAATAGAATAGAAAAGATAGATAGATAGATAGATAGATAGATAGATAGATAGATAGATAGATAGATAGATGAGAATTTTGTCGTTCAAAAAACTAATTCAGTTTCTAATTTCTGTCCTCACCAAAAAAAAAGAGCCATAACACCCAGAAAAAGAGCCATAACTGAACAATTTTGTTATGGCAACACATTGCCACTTTTTATAAAACTAGACAAAACTAATTCAGATTTCTGTCTTCATTTCTGTCCTAATAGAATAGAAAAGATAGATAGATAGATAGATAGATACGAGAGTCGTTCAAAAAGTTCTAAGCCTCACCCAGAAAAAAGAGCCATAACTGAACAATTTTGTTATAAAACTAACAAAACTAATTCAGATTTCTGTCTTCACTTTTCTATAAAACTAGAAAACTAATTCAGATTTTTTTTCAAAATAGTCTTAATTGAATAACTGAATAGAATAGATAGATAGATAGATAGATAGATAGATAGATAGATAGATAGATAGATAGATAGATAGATAGATAGATAGATACGAGAGTTGTTCAAAAAGTTCTAAGTCTCATCCAGAAAGAAGTGTCATAGCTGAACATTTTTGTCGTGTCAACTCACCACCCCTTCTTATAAAACTAGAAAAACAAATTCAGATTTCTGTGCAGGTGAGGCCCATACAGAGGTGTGTAACAAATCTAAAAATGGACAAAACAGAGGTCCGAGCAGTCATAAAGTATCTGCAAAAGAAAGGTATGACATCCAAAGAAATTCATGAGGACATGGTACAGCCATTTGCTGAGGACTCCCCTTCCTATGCAACTGTGAAGAGGCGGGCTGCGGAATTCAAGCGAAACAGGGACAGCACAAAAGAGGATCCTCGGCAAAGTCGTCCAAAGATCTCAAACACTGATGAACAAGTTGATGCCATTCAACGTATGGTTTTGGATGACAAACCTCTTACTGTCCAGCAGATATCCATAGGTATTAGTTCTGGTGCGCCTCATAATGGTTTAACTGAGTTCTTGGGCAAGAGTAAAAATGGGGCCCAAGAAGGCTGACACCAGAGTAGAAGCTGGAAAGTGTTGACTTTTCCAGGACACTTCTGACTCGCTTTCAAGCTGACCCTGAGAATTTACTCCGTAGATTAGTAATTCACAATGAAACCTGGATCATTTCGAACATGAATCGAAGATTCAAAGCAAACCGTGGAAACACTCTGTTTCTCCAACCCCGAAGAAGTTCAAGCAGGTAGCGTCTGTTGGCAAGGTGATAGCTTCTGTAAAGAAGTGGACTGCGGAATTCAAGCGAGGTAGGGACAGCACAAAAGATGACCCCCGGCTAGGTGGTCCAAAAACCTCAACCACTAATGAACAAGTTGATGCCATTCGCCGTATGGTTTTGAATGACAGCCGTCTTACTGTCCAGCAGATAGATAACTACATGGGCATTAGTTCTGATTCGGTCCATACTGTTTTACTGATCTTGGGGATGAGCAAGCTGTCTGCAAGATGTGTCGCAAGAATATTAACACCAGAGCAGAAGCTGAACAAAGTGGAAATTCCCAGGATACTTGTGACTCGCTTTCTGGCTAACCCTGAGAATTTTCACCGCAGATTAGTAACTCAAGATTGGTTTGAACCTAAATCAAAGATTCAAAGCAAACAATTTCTCCACCCCCGAAGAAGTTCAAACAGGCAGCGTCTGTTGGCAAGGTGATGGCTTCTGGTTTTGGGGGATTCCGAAGGCATAATCATGATAAACTACCTGGGAAAAGGGGGAAAACCATTAAAAGACAGTACTATGAATCAGAATTAAGACAACTGAAGGAAGCGATCAAGTCAAAACGCAGACAGAAGCTGTCGAAAAGTGTGCTCTTGCTCCAGGATAACGGGCCCGTTCACACTGCTCAGGTTGCTGAAGTAGCCAACCGTGGCTTTGAATTGCTACATCATCCCCCTTACTCACCGGAATTAACTTCATCTGACTTATTCCTGTTTCTTAAACTCAAACTCCACCTGCGTGGACGCCATTTTGAAAACAATGATGAGATCATATGCGGTGTGGGGGTGTTTTTGGGGTGACCAGGTCAACACCTTCTTCCGTGTTGGAATTGCAATATTTAAGTTGGTTTGGTTTAGTTTGTTTTGTTTTGTTTTACGGTATATCAACCTCAATGGGTTATTTAATGCCAACAAAATTTTCATTGTTGGTAATATTTTTTCCAAAAATCAATTTCTGGTAATATATTTTTTCCTTCAGAAATATATTTCTGGTAATAATTTTTCTTCGCTGGTAATATTTTTTTCAAAAAATGTATAGCTGGTATTTTTTTTTAAACGTATAGCTGGTAATATTTTTTTAAAATGTAATGCCGGTAATATTTTTTTCAAAAATGTATTGCTGGTAATAATTTTTTACAAAGTATTTCTGGTATCAAGACCTATTTTTACACTTTCATAGTATTTTGACCCCATTAAGAGGGCAAAAGTTTTGTCCGGGGAGGTAGACAGGCCCGGACACTTTTAAGCGGGTTCTACGGGAATATTTTTGGCCGAGCCTACGGGCTCGGAAAACCCACGGTAAACTCGGCCTTGTGCCACATACATCCCTCATGGTGGGGCTGTTAAATATAACAGTCGACTAGATTGTTCAACAGTCGAACTCTCTGCCTTGAGCAGAGAGGAACCCGGATGAGGCTTTGCCAAAAGCCAGTGTTTCGTCGGTGGAGGTAGACAGACGCCTGAACACGTTTATGCGGGCTCAGAAAACCCACGGTAAACTCGGCCTTGTGCCACAAACATCCCTCGTGTGTGGGGGCTGTTAAATATTAACAGTAGAATAGATTGTTCGTTACTGTCGAACTCTCTACCTTGAGCAGAGAGGAACCCAGACGAGACTTTGCTGAAGGACAAAGTTTCGTCTAGGGAGGTAGACAGACTCGAACCCGTTTATGCTGGTTCTACGGGGATTTTTTGGCCGAGCCTACGAGCTCGGATGACTCACCTTAAACTCGGTGTTGTGCCACATGTACCCTCTTGTGGGAAGGGGCTACTAAATATCAACAGTGAATAGATTGAGCGCTAGTCGTGTCGTGTAATACTCTTCTGGTGTACTTACTGTTTACTATACGATATATCTGCAAACCTGGTTTTTGTTCTTACTTAACCATTTACTTATAAATATCACCACTTCATTTCCAACGTCCGCTTGTGTTATTCCTCATTCAGAAACCTTTCCTGGGTTACAACAGCCTTCTAGGTCTAACATTCTAGTCTGATATGAAGTGGAAAGACTATATGGAATCCATTGCTAGGTCTTCTGCTAAGAAAGTCGGTTCAATGTGTCATCGATTACCTATGTCATTTGTCCATACTTTGAATATTGCAGCCACATATGGTCCACCGCTCCTGCTGTATATTTAAAGATTCTTGATAAAGTCCAAAGAATCCTCAATATTATTGGTCCTGACCTGGCATCTCGGCTTCAGTCACTTTCCCACCGTCGTAACATAGCTTCCTTGTGACGTTTCTATAAATAGTTTCATGGTAATTGTTTAGTATTTACATTAGTCGGACTATTGTCCTTATCTTTGTCGCCATATTTGTCACAACGTTTCGGCCGTTGCACGCTCCGGCCTTCTTCAGGTGGTTGGAATTTCGAACTGAACCCTTTATTTCGATCACTGGGGTAGACTGTTCTAGTTCCACGTGCCATGTTTGATGGACGTCAGTTATCAGTTATCTCCTGCTAATTTTCCCTCTGAAAGTTCTCCACTGCCTTAACCAGGTATTGAACTCACCTTCTTTGGGTCTGTCACTGGATCTAACCAACGCCTTTATCCACTGTGACATGTGTCCTTGAGGAAATTCCAACCACCTGAAGAAGGCCGGAGCGTACAACGGCCGAAACGTTGTGACAAATATGGCGACAAAGATGAGGACAATAGTCCGACTAATGTAAATACTGTACATAATACCTCATCTCAGAAATATAGACAGACTCATGGTAATTGTTTGGATGAACTTTCCGCTATGGGATCTAGCACTGTGTCGCGAAAAAAACCATATTTTTAATCAATTAATTTACATTAAGCACTGTTTTGTAAAAATAAAAATATCTATAAGAACACCGGATTATATATCTTACTGTTCTTTCTTTATATATATTTATATATATATATATATATATATATATATATATATATATATATATATATATATATATACAGAAATCCCTCGATTAATGCATTTTCGATTAGCGCGCTAAAATTTTTATATAATAAAATTCGATTATTTCATACATGATACACGATTAATGCACTAAAACATTCTTCATTTTAACCATAATAATTGAAAATTGATTTTTATAGTTACCGATGTACAAATTAGGGGCACTAATTGAGGAATTCCTGTATATATATATATATATATATATATATATATATATATATATATATATATAATCAAATGAAATGAATAATTATAGGTAAATATACGAGCAAGAATTCGTATATAAATACATATCTCTATCTATACAGGGCAGGATGAGTGTGTGTGTGTGTGTGTG